TTGACTTTAGGTTTGGATTTGAGATCAAGTAAAGCAAGCAGTTGACTTTAGGTTTGGATTTGAGATCAAGTAAAGCAAGCAGTTGACTTTAGGTTTGGATCTGAGATCAAGTAAAGCAAGCAGTTGACTTTAGGTTTGGATTTGAGATCAAGTAAAGCAAGCAGTTGACTTTAGGTTTGGATTTGAGATCAAGTAAAGCAAGCAGTTGACTTTAGGTTTGGATTTGAGATCAAGTAAAGCAAGCAGTTGACTTTAGGTTTGGATCTGAGATCAAGTAAAGCAAGCAGTTGACTTCAGGTTTGGATTTGAGATCAAGTAAAGCAAGCAGTTGACTTTAGGTTTGGATCTGAGATCAAGTAAAGCAAGCAGTTGACTTTAGGTTTGGATTTGAGATCAAGTAAAGCAAGCAGTTGATTTTAGGTTTGTATCTGAGATCAAGTAAAGCAAGCAGTTGACTTTAGGTTTGGATTTGAGATCAAGTAAAGCAAGCAGTTGATTTTAGGTTTGGATTTGAGATCAAGTAAAGCAAGCAGTTGACTTTAGGTTAGGATTTGAGATCAAGTAAAGCAAGCAGTTGATTTTAGGTTTGGATTTGAGATCAAGTAGAGCAAGCAGTTGACTTTAGGTTTGGATTTGAGATCAAGTAGAGCAAGCAGTTGACTTTAGGTTTGGATTTGAGATCAAGTAGAGCAAGCAGTTGACTTTAGGTTTGGATTTGAGATCAAGTAAAGCAAGCAGTTGACTTTAGGTTTGGATTTGAGATCAAGTAAAGCAAGCAGTTGACTTTAGGTTTGGATTTGAGATCAAGTAAAGCAAGCAGTTGACTTTAGGTTTGGATTTGAGATCAAGTAAAGCAAGCAGTTGACTTTAGGTTTGGATTTGAGATCAAGTAAAGCAAGCAGTTGACTTTAGGTTTGGATTTGAGATCAAGTAAAGCAAGCAGTTGACTTTAGGTTAGGATTTGAGATCAAGTAAAGCAAGCAGTTGACTTTAGGTTTGGATTTGAGATCAAGTAAAGCAAGCAGTTGACTTTAGGTTTGGATTTGAGATCAAGTAAAGCAAGCAGTTGACTTTAGGTTTGGATTTGAGATCAAGTAGAGCAAGCAGTTGACTTTAGGTTTGGATTTGAGATCAATTAAAGCAAGCAGTTGACTTTAGGTTAGGATTTGAGATCAAGTAAAGCAAGCAGTTGATTTTAGGTTTGGATTTGAGATCAAGTTAAGCAAGCAGTTGACTTTAGGTTTGGATTTGAGATCAAGTAGAGCAAGCAGTTGACTTTAGGTTAGGATTTGAGATCAAGTAAAGCAAGCAGTTGATTTTAGGTTTGGATTTGAGATCAAGTAAAGCAAGCAGTTGACTTTAGGTTTGGATCTGAGATCAAGTAAAGCAAGCAGTTGACTTTAGGTTTGGATTTGAGATCAAGTAAAGCAAGCAGTTGACTTTAGGTTAGGATTTGAGATCAAGTAAAGCAAGCAGTTGACTTTAGGTTTGGATTTGAGATCAAGTAAAGCAAGCAGTTGACTTTAGGTTTGGATTTGAGATGAAGTAAAGCAAGCAGTTGACTTTAGGTTAGGATTTGAGATCAAGTAGAGCAAGCAGTTGACTTTAGGTTTGGATTTGAGATCAAGTAAAGCAAGCAGTTGACTTTAGGTTTGGATTTGAGATCAAGTAAAGCAAGCAGTTGACTTTAGGTTTGGATTTGAGATCAAGTAAAGCAAGCAGTTGACTTTAGGTTTGGATTTGAGATCAAGTAATGCAAGCAGTTGACTTTAGGTTAGGATTTGAGATCAAGTAAAGCAAGCAGTTGACTTTAGGTTTGGATTTGAGATCAAGTAAAGCAAGCAGTTGACTTTAGGTTTGGATTTGAGATCAAGTAAAGCAAGCAGTTGACTTTAGGTTTGGATTTGAGATCAAGTAAAGCAAGCAGTTGACTTTAGGTTAGGATTTGAGATCAAGTAAAGCAAGCAGTTGACTTTAGGTTTGGATTTGAGATCAAGTAAAGCAAGCAGTTGACTTTAGGTTTGGATTTGAGATCAAGTAAAGCAAGCAGTTGACTTTAGGTTTGGATTTGAGATCAAGTAAAGCAAGCAGTTGACTTTAGGTTAGGATTTGAGATCAAGTAAAGCAAGCAGTTGATTTTAGGTTTGGATTTGAGATCAAGTAGAGCAAGCAGTTGACTTTAGGTTTGGATTTGAGATCAAGTAGAGCAAGCAGTTGACTTTAGGTTTGGATTTGAGATCAAGTAGAGCAAGCAGTTGACTTTAGGTTTGGATTTGAGATCAAGTAAAGCAAGCAGTTGACTTTAGGTTTGGATTTGAGATCAAGTAAAGCAAGCAGTTGACTTTAGGTTTGGATTTGAGATCAAGTAAAGCAAGCAGTTGACTTTAGGTTTGGATTTGAGATCAAGTAAAGCAAGCAGTTGACTTTAGGTTTGGATCTGAGATCAAGTAAAGCAAGCAGTTGACTTTAGGTTTGGATTTGAGATCAAGTAAAGCAAGCAGTTGACTTTAGGTTTGGATTTGAGATCAAGTAAAGCAAGCAGTTGACTTTAGGTTTGGATCTGAGATCAAGTAAAGCAAGCAGTTGACTTTAGGTTTGGATTTGAGATCAAGTAAAGCAAGCAGTTGACTTTAGGTTAGGATTTGAGATCAAGTAAAGCAAGCAGTTGACTTTAGGTTTGGATCTGAGATCAAGTAAAGCAAGCAGTTGACTTTAGGTTTGGATTTGAGATCAAGTAAAGCAAGCAGTTGACTTTAGGTTAGGATTTGAGATCAAGTAAAGCAAGCAGTTGACTTTAGGTTAGGATTTGAGATCAAGTAAAGCAAGCAGTTGACTTTAGGTTTGGATCTGAGATTAAGTAAAGCAAGCAGTTGACTTTAGGTTAGGATTTGAGATCAAGTAAAGCAAGCAGTTGACTTTAGGTTTGGATCTGAGATTAAGTAAAGCAAGCAGTTGACTTTAGGTTAGGATTTGAGATCAAGTAAAGCAAGCAGTTGACTTTAGGTTTGGATTTGAGATCAAGTAAAGCAAGCAGTTGACTTTAGGTTAGGATTTGAGATCAAGTAAAGCAAGCAGTTGACTTTAGGTTTGGATTTGAGATCAAGTAGACGAAGCAGTTGACTTTAGGTTTGGATTTGAGATCAAGTAGAGCAAGCAGTTGACTTTAGGTTTGGATTTGAGATCAAGTAAAGCAAGCAGTTGACTTTAGGTTTGGATTTGAGATCAAGTAAAGCAAGCAGTTGACTTTAGGTTTGGATTTGAGATCAAGTAATGCAAGCAGTTGACTTTAGGTTAGGATTTGAGATCAAGTAAAGCAAGCAGTTGACTTTAGGTTTGGATTTGAGATCAAGTAAAGCAAGCAGTTGACTTTAGGTTTGGATTTGAGATCAAGTAAAGCAAGCAGTTGACTTTAGGTTTGGATTTGAGATCAAGTAAAGCAAGCAGTTGACTTTAGGTTAGGATTTGAGATCAAGTAAAGCAAGCAGTTGACTTTAGGTTTGGATTTGAGATCAAGTAAAGCAAGCAGTTGACTTTAGGTTTGGATTTGAGATCAAGTAAAGCAAGCAGTTGACTTTAGGTTTGGATTTGAGATCAAGTAAAGCAAGCAGTTGACTTTAGGTTAGGATTTGAGATCAAGTAAAGCAAGCAGTTGATTTTAGGTTTGGATTTGAGATCAAGTAGAGCAAGCAGTTGACTTTAGGTTTGGATTTGAGATCAAGTAGAGCAAGCAGTTGACTTTAGGTTTGGATTTGAGATCAAGTAGAGCAAGCAGTTGACTTTAGGTTTGGATTTGAGATCAAGTAAAGCAAGCAGTTGACTTTAGGTTAGGATTTGAGATCAAGTAAAGCAAGCAGTTGACTTTAGGTTAGGATTTGAGATCAAGTAAAGCAAGCAGTTGACTTTAGGTTTGGATCTGAGATTAAGTAAAGCAAGCAGTTGACTTTAGGTTAGGATTTGAGATCAAGTAAAGCAAGCAGTTGACTTTAGGTTTGGATTTGAGATCAAGTAAAGCAAGCAGTTGACTTTAGGTTAGGATTTGAGATCAAGTAAAGCAAGCAGTTGACTTTAGGTTTGGATTTGAGATCAAGTAGACGAAGCAGTTGACTTTAGGTTTGGATTTGAGATCAAGTAGAGCAAGCAGTTGACTTTAGGTTTGGATTTGAGATCAAGTAAAGCAAGCAGTTGACTTTAGGTTTGGATTTGAGATCAAGTAAAGCAAGCAGTTGACTTTAGGTTTGGATTTGAGATCAAGTAATGCAAGCAGTTGACTTTAGGTTAGGATTTGAGATCAAGTAAAGCAAGCAGTTGACTTTAGGTTTGGATTTGAGATCAAGTAAAGCAAGCAGTTGACTTTAGGTTTGGATTTGAGATCAAGTAAAGCAAGCAGTTGACTTTAGGTTTGGATTTGAGATCAAGTAAAGCAAGCAGTTGACTTTAGGTTAGGATTTGAGATCAAGTAAAGCAAGCAGTTGACTTTAGGTTTGGATTTGAGATCAAGTAAAGCAAGCAGTTGACTTTAGGTTAGGATTTGAGATCAAGTAAAGCAAGCAGTTGACTTTAGGTTTGGATTTGAGATCAAGTAGACGAAGCAGTTGACTTTAGGTTTGGATTTGAGATCAAGTAGAGCAAGCAGTTGACTTTAGGTTTGGATTTGAGATCAAGTAAAGCAAGCAGTTGACTTTAGGTTTGGATTTGAGATCAAGTAAAGCAAGCAGTTGACTTTAGGTTTGGATTTGAGATCAAGTAATGCAAGCAGTTGACTTTAGGTTAGGATTTGAGATCAAGTAAAGCAAGCAGTTGACTTTAGGTTTGGATTTGAGATCAAGTAAAGCAAGCAGTTGACTTTAGGTTTGGATTTGAGATCAAGTAAAGCAAGCAGTTGACTTTAGGTTTGGATTTGAGATCAAGTAAAGCAAGCAGTTGACTTTAGGTTAGGATTTGAGATCAAGTAAAGCAAGCAGTTGACTTTAGGTTTGGATTTGAGATCAAGTAAAGCAAGCAGTTGACTTTAGGTTTGGATTTGAGATCAAGTAAAGCAAGCAGTTGACTTTAGGTTTGGATTTGAGATCAAGTAAAGCAAGCAGTTGACTTTAGGTTAGGATTTGAGATCAAGTAAAGCAAGCAGTTGATTTTAGGTTTGGATTTGAGATCAAGTAGAGCAAGCAGTTGACTTTAGGTTTGGATTTGAGATCAAGTAGAGCAAGCAGTTGACTTTAGGTTTGGATTTGAGATCAAGTAGAGCAAGCAGTTGACTTTAGGTTTGGATTTGAGATCAAGTAAAGCAAGCAGTTGACTTTAGGTTTGGATTTGAGATCAAGTAAAGCAAGCAGTTGACTTTAGGTTTGGATTTGAGATCAAGTAAAGCAAGCAGTTGACTTTAGGTTTGGATTTGAGATCAAGTAAAGCAAGCAGTTGACTTTAGGTTTGGATCTGAGATCAAGTAAAGCAAGCAGTTGACTTTAGGTTTGGATTTGAGATCAAGTAAAGCAAGCAGTTGACTTTAGGTTTGGATTTGAGATCAAGTAAAGCAAGCAGTTGACTTTAGGTTTGGATCTGAGATCAAGTAAAGCAAGCAGTTGACTTTAGGTTTGGATTTGAGATCAAGTAAAGCAAGCAGTTGACTTTAGGTTAGGATTTGAGATCAAGTAAAGCAAGCAGTTGACTTTAGGTTTGGATCTGAGATCAAGTAAAGCAAGCAGTTGACTTTAGGTTTGGATTTGAGATCAAGTAAAGCAAGCAGTTGACTTTAGGTTAGGATTTGAGATCAAGTAAAGCAAGCAGTTGACTTTAGGTTAGGATTTGAGATCAAGTAAAGCAAGCAGTTGACTTTAGGTTTGGATCTGAGATTAAGTAAAGCAAGCAGTTGACTTTAGGTTAGGATTTGAGATCAAGTAAAGCAAGCAGTTGACTTTAGGTTTGGATCTGAGATTAAGTAAAGCAAGCAGTTGACTTTAGGTTAGGATTTGAGATCAAGTAAAGCAAGCAGTTGACTTTAGGTTTGGATTTGAGATCAAGTAAAGCAAGCAGTTGACTTTAGGTTAGGATTTGAGATCAAGTAAAGCAAGCAGTTGACTTTAGGTTTGGATTTGAGATCAAGTAGACGAAGCAGTTGACTTTAGGTTTGGATTTGAGATCAAGTAGACGAAGCAGTTGACTTTAGGTTTGGATTTGAGATCAAGTTAAGCAAGCAGTTGACTTTAGGTTTGGATTTGAGATCAAGTAAAGCAAGCAGTTGACTTTAGGTTTGGATTTGAGATCAAGTTAAGCAAGCAGTTGACTTTAGGTTTGGATTTGAGATTAAGTAAAGCAAGCAGTTGACTTTAGGTTTGGATTTGAGATCAAGTTAAGCAAGCAGTTGACTTTAGGTTTGGATTTGAGATCAAGTAGAGCAAGCAGTTGACTTTAGGTTTGGATTTGAGATCAAGTAGAGCAAGCAGTTGACTTTAGGTTTGGATTTGAGATCAAGTAAAGCAAGCAGTTGACTTTAGGTTTGGATTTGAGATCAAGTAAAGCAAGCAGTTGATTTTAGGTTTGGATTTGAGATCAAGTAAAGCAAGCAGTTGACTTAAGGTTTGGATTTGAGATCAAGTAAAGCAAGCAGTTGACTTTAGGTTTGGATTTGAGATCAAGTAAAGCAAGCAGTTGACTTTAGGTTTGGATTTGAGATCAAGTAGAGCAAGCAGTTGACTTTAGGTTTGGATTTGAGATCAAGTAGAGCAAGCAGTTGACTTTAGGTTTGGATTTGAGATCAAGTAGAGCAAGCAGTTGACTTTAGGTTTGGATTTGAGATCAAGTAAAGCAAGCAGTTGACTTTAGGTTTGGATTTGACTGTAACCAACCGGGTATTTCTGGCGTCTTGCTGAGAGTCTGTATGTCTCTTCTCAATTCGTCTTTCAACCTAAGAAAAAACAATAGAGGCCAACATGCTCCAATCATTGTAGGCCTACAATATTTATCAAGCTAGTGTATTGGTCTACATCAGATTAAGAATGAGCTAAGAATGCAGTTATGGTTGGATTAATGTTGGGTTAAGGTTGGGTTAAGCATTTGTTTAGCTGTCGCCTGCCAAACGAACCTTAGTTCATCTCTCCCCACCATAACCCTAGTCCTAAAACTACTGTAAGACCTCTCACAACAGTGCATGCCCTAGAATTGTTGAAACACTGGTACCACATACTGGTGCTGAACGCCTAGGGTTAGGGTTAGAAGTGGCAATAAAAAGGAATAAAAACCATGATACATTTATAAAATAGGACAAGTTTTAAATAACAGAGAATGGGGGGTGGAAAGGAGTATAACATCTATTTAGGGGGTGGGGTCGGGTTTTTGTGAGACGTTAAAGTGCAAGGGAAAAAATTAGTCAAAAATCCATGACAACATTTACAAAGGATATGTAACCCTAGACCTGTTCAGAAAGTGAACTATTTACAAAGGATATGTAACCCTAGACCTGTTCAGAAAGTGAACTATTTACAAAGGATATGTAACCCTTGACCTGTTCAGAAAGTGAACTATTTACAAAGGATATGTAACCCTAGACCTGTTCAGAAAGTGAACTATTTACAAAGGATATGTAACCCTAGACCTGTTCAGAAAGTGAACTATTTCTGTATCTAGAAAAATAAAAACAGAGAACATTGAACTCAAACTGAAAGAAGATAACCCCAATCTTAGACCTTACTTCCGGTTCAAATCCAGCAAAACTCTAGCATTTTCTTCAAGACGATCTAACTTTTGAATGGCTAAAGTCATTTCCCTGGGTCTTGACAGTCCTCGTGAAGTAAAATTAACAACTTGATGCTTTAGTAAATCTAGATGACTTAGTTGACTCTTCAGCAATATGGCTAGATAGCTGTCATATTCAGCCTATTGAAAAAAATGTTTAAGTAAAAAAATTCAAATGAATTAGACTGTTTTCTTTTTTCTGGTGCACAACTTCGGTGTTTGGATGGATTTCAAAATTCTTTTAACTATAATTGTCTTTAAATTGTGAGTATACTAACACTACTCATTTAATTACGATTAGCAAAAATCTCACCATTTTTATTCATTTCTGGCATTAAGGCCAGCAATGTGACATATTGTTATGGTATTAAACTTTAATAATAGAACAGTAAGTTAAATTTAAAAAAAACATGTAGTACATACTTTAATTGAACTTAATAAATAACAGAATGTCTGTGATTCCTCTATTATATTGACAAAGATATTGCTAAAAACTTGCAACCGGTCAAGGCCAATTGATGTTTCATCTATTCCCTCAAGCCCCTAAAAGAAAAAAAACACATCAAAAATTTAGGTACTAATCTACACAAGTGTTTATACCTAGGGGTCATTCATAAATGATCAGTATTGAGTTTTTTTAATTATCAATTTAGATTTTAATTTTAAAAAGTAAACACTTTAACTTTAAAAATATTACACAAAGGCGATGAAGTCTAGTTTTATACTAGTATATGCATGTCTTTAACAAAAACACAGAGGTACAGAGTCCATTTCATTTTTATAATTAGGCTAGCATGCCGGTTCCAACGCGTTGCCACGGGGTTAGAATAAAGTCTGAGGAAATAATTTAAGAGAGTTTCATCAATGCATTACCAATCCTGTATTCTTCGATGCTTGACCTTGTATTTTTAAACTGAGTTATTTATATGTAAACAATGCCTGCGCTTGGATCATACTTATCGGGGCACCTACACTACCTCCCAGCACACTATTGGGCATGCTATATGAAAGTCTTGAGTGTACGTAATCACTAACCGTAATAGTGAGGTAGAACACACCTTGGCAACCGCCCTGGTGTCAGGAATGTAAAGGGGCGCTCCTGGTAGTCCCGATGTAATATATTGAGCTATATATTGAGGGGAACTCATTCTTCTTGTATTAGTCTTATAATGTTTGAGTGATGTCCCTTGCATGTTATGCTTCCGTTTCCGATTCAGAATAAACAAGGTACATAAAAAATGGCTTCCTCGTCTGTTGTATTATCTGATAACAATCCACTTCACCCGATTACACTACCACAGGGGCGCCGGTACAGCCCTTGTCTTGGTTTAATCATCACAGGTTGTGTGCAATTGTGTCAATATTGTAATATGCTCCTTAAAACTAACATAGGCGCTATAGTGCTAAAAGGATAGCCCAGTGCGCAAAATCGCACGCTACCGGGGTGAGGGCGGATGCACCTAATTCAATTTCTTGAACGGCTATAAACCCCCATCTTATCCATAGTCTATCGCACTGTTTAAAACTAATGTAGGCACCATAGCACTCAAGCGACAGCCCCCTGGGCACCAAACCGCACCCTACCAGGGCACCGATGAACGCTCCTGATTGAATTTTAGTCAACGACTATAACGCAATAACTTATCGATAGTCTATCACACAGTTAAAATGAACATAGGCTCCACAGTGCTCACAGGCTTGCCCATGGCATCAAACTGCACCCTGACAGGCGCCAGCGAACGCAGCTGATTCAATTCAGTGAACGACCATAACATCCCTTCTTATCCTTAGTCTATTGCACTGTTTAAAATAAACGTAGGCGCAATAGCACTTATGGGAAAGCTCGGAGAGCTAAATCGCACCCTGTTAGGGTGCTGCCCAAGCTGAATTGAATTTTTTTATTTTCGCTGTTACCTCCCCAGGATTATTCTCATCAACTCACCAAAGTTTTATGGCACTCGGATGAATGGTGTCGAACAACATTTGACTTTTTTTTAAACCGCATATAAAGAAAAATCGTGCCCTCCCTGGGCGCCGCCCTTGCGAAATTATTTTTTTTTTGCAGGAACCTCTCTTGGAGTGTTCTAATCAACTCTCCAACATTTTATGGCAATCTGATGAAAAGTGTCAAACTGCAATCGATTGCCAATTTGAGACTTTTTTTCCCCAGGAGTATTCTCAACAACTTCCCAAAGTTTCATAGCGATCGGATGAAAGGTGTAGTAATGTCAATTACCCCCCCCCCTGGAGTAATTACCCCCTGTCAATTACCCCCCCCCCCCCACCCCCCAGTAGGACATTACCCCTCGGACAGGGTTAGAGTTAGGGCTAGGGTTAGGGTTAGGGTTAAGGTTAGGGCTAGGATTAGGGTTAGAGCTAGGGTTAGGGTTAGGCTTAAACCTATGTCTAGCGTTGGTTTTGGTTTTGTGTGAAGTTTTAGGCTAAGTTGGATGCTTAGGTTTTGTTCTTTTTCTTAAGGTTTGAATTAAAGTAGTATATAGGAATAGAATTCTAGTTAGAATTAGGATTCTAACTTAAGGGGGGGGGGGGGGGGGTAATTGCTCCGTGGGTTAATACAGGGGGGGGGGAATGTCCAGGGGGGGGGGGGGGGGTAATTTCCGGGGGGGGGTAATGTCCTGTAGCCTTTTTTTATATATAGACTAATGATCCACACTATTATACACAGATTATTTGCCTTCTATTTGGTGTGCAAATATTTTTTCTACGAGTTTTTATTCTATTTTAAATAAACCGGGAGTGATCTCCCCTAAACTTTCTCGAATATTCTTATATAAAATAACAGGGGATGGGAACTCGGGCTATAGACATGATTTTTAATCCATTTTAAATACTTAAAGTTTTAAAAATAGAATAAAATCTCGTAAACAAATTAATTGCACACCAAGTGAACGCCAAATAAAAAAGCGCATAATGGTGCGCAATATTATTATTACTTTTAAAATTTACATTAGTTTTTTGAGAAATCGGAAGTAGCGTAAAGTACTACTTCCAGTCAACGGAAATGACTCAAAATTTAATAGAAGGTAGAGAATTAGATCTTTTACTTACATATGAAATTTCATTTATCTATCTGAAATAGTACTCAAGTTATAGGCTTTTGAAAAATTCAAAGTAGAAAAAGTACCACTTCCGGTTATCGGAAATCGCTCAAAAGTTGATAAGGATCTACGATTTTGATTAAATACTTATATATGAAATTTCATCAACCTAGCTGTAACGGTACTCAAGTTATCGTGTTTACACACGGACAGACAGACACACAGACAGACACACAGACAGACACACAGACATACGGACAAGATTGCAAAATTATGTTTTTCCGTATCAGTGAGGTGTGAAACGTCGAGATTTGTAAAAATCTCGATTTTTTTTTTTGCACGATTACAAGACTTTCTATATACTTTGTATATACGAGAAAGTAAAAAAATAAAGTAGGCCTTTATGAAAATTGTTTTTTTTTTAAATTGACTATATCTCGACTGCACTGGAGTTGCTATCCCCATAGTGTTATCTAAGACTATTCAAGAAAGCTTTATTAAGGTTTTGTAAATTGAATGGTCCTACACACATTTTTCTATTTCATCAATAGGTTTTTGCATCTATGCTTGCAGTGGTAGGCTGCACCAATATTAGTTGGCTATCCACTGGTAGGGCCTAACTTCAAATTAGAATCTCCTTGTGGTTATATTCTTTTTATTCTAACTTTTCTGTCTGTGTACTGGAAAAGAGCCATAGATATAATTTGAGATTTGAATGAGTTGAGGTCATATTTAACTCCACGACTATGCCTGTAGAATTAACCATTTTGTGACTAGCAAGGCTATTGCAGTGACCAATAGCTGTATAGAAAAAACACATACATTACATGCTAAAAATAGTATCTTTACACCCTTTCTTGTACTTTCTAGTTTCACTATTTGGACCCTTTTAATTGGTGCCCTGTCAAAACGGCCTGGGAAAAATCGGCCCCGTCAAAACGGCCCCGTTAATTTGACCCCGTCAAATCGACCCCTGACAAAATGACCCATTCAAAATAGCCCCGTCAAAAGGGCCCCAACTTATTGGCTCCCGTCATATTGACTTGCGACATATAGGCTCCCGACGAATGGGCTCCCGATATTTAGGCTCCCGACAAATGGACTCCCGACATATTAACCCCTGACAAATAGGCTCAGGACATATTGGCTCCCGACAACGCAGCTCCCGACATACTGGCTCCCGACATAAGGGCTCAAGACAAATGGGCTCCCGACAAATGGGCTCCCGACAAATGGGCTCACAACATATTGGCTACCGACAAATGGGCTCCCTACATATTGGCTCCAGGCAATTGGGCTCCCGACATATTGGCTTTTGACAAAATGACTCCCGACATATTGGCTCCAGACCAATGAATGACCACTATTGGCATAAAAGTAACTATTTTTTCCTACCACCAATACCACTATAAATTCTTTTAAATGCCCAAACGAAATTGTTTTTCATGAACCAACATTAATTCACAAACAAATCGAGCCCTTAACAGCTAAATTCCACCAATTCTGAAGTTTTGATAATGTTTAATTTACAACAAATATCTGTTGCTTAAAAGCGAGCACAGAAGTGTAAATGTATGATATACATAATGTTTACATGATAACAGCATCTTGTTTTGATAACCTACAAGCATACTGCAGGTAGGAATGTATAGCGTGGACCCTTCTCCCCACACACTGAGTTGAAACAGCCTATAACCGACTCAATTATGGATGTCATAGATAGATGACCCTTAAATTAAAACATACTAAATTTCATAATAGATAAACTAATATAAAAATAAGGCCTGCCGAACAAGAGATGCATACGTTGTATTCAGTGGCAGAATTGGAAAAAATGGGCCACCGCAAAAAAATATTTTTAGCCCCCCCCCCCCCCCCATATCTATATATATATATATATATATATATATATATATATATATATATATATATATATATATATATATATATATATATATATATATATATATATATATATATATATATATATATATATATATATATATATATATATATATATTTATATATATATATATATATTTATATTTATATATATATATATACAAACACACAATAAGAACATAGGATTCTCATTGCTGGCCTGTTCGGGTTTTGAAAAAATAATTGGTTTTTTTTTCAATTTAAGCAAATTACATGTCATGTGTGTAAGTGCAATAGTCTGTTTTAAATATCTAGTTTGTTTTATCTCTGCTATCAGATCTCTTAATCACTAGTTGGTCAAAAGTATATAAAACATGAAAGCTTTGTATAAGTTATGGTGTCTCGTTTTATGTTAATTTTTATGTTTTTTTGTATTTATATTATTAATTTTTAATGCATTTCCTTTTTGTACAATGTCATAATTATTAAGAGAAGTAATTACTTTTTAATTTGTTTAGTGCAAATCTATTTAAAGCAGAGTTTCTTCCAGGCATCTCTTGCCCCCCCCCCCCCCCCCCCCCCCCCCCCGGAGAAAAAAGTCTGGAAGAAACACTGATTTAAAGGAGCTTATGAGCACCCCTATTTGACTATTTAAAAAAGGGAAATAAGTCATGGAAGTGGTTTGAATGTTTACTTATCTTTGATAAGTTTGATTGTAGGAGAAAGAGGGACTCCGGCTTTCACAGTGGTTTAAAAACAAAGGGAAAAAAGAATACAAGAGCGTTGGGTGGTGTCTATAGAATAAAGATAATCCAATCGCAGCTATAGTAATCTTTTTACATAACAACCGTCAAGTTAAAAATGCAAGAAAATTATATTTTTTAACTATATATTTTTTTAAATTATGGTTGGCTGTGGGCCCCCTAAAGGGCTTGCCCCCCCCCCCCTGATTGCGGGGTCTGACGGCACTGTAGTTCCGCCCCTGGTTGTATTACATAAGAGTGTTGGATAAGCTAACTCTAAAGAATGTTGATGAAGGGGTCCCCACTGGCAGGTGTCATATTCAATGAGACCACTTAGCCAGGAGACTTAGTCTCTACAGAAACGGTATTGTCAGTGGTCCTTTTGTCTGGAGCCAAATTGACAGGAGCCTTTTTGTCGTGAGCCAAAATGACGGGAGCCTATTTGTCGGGGGCCTATATGACGGGGTCCATATGTTGCTGGCCATTTTGACGGTGCTGTTTTGACTGGGCCGTTTTGTCATTGGCCGTTTTGACACTGCACGCTTTTAATTTGTTGCTCTAATTATGAACTCTTCTTTTTAAGAACTACACATTAAACACTTAATTTTTGGGTCTAGTTTACAATGAAGATTGCTTTAATGTAAAAAATAAACTGTTTCTGACATGAAGTATTTTTTAAAGTAATTTTTTACCTTAAAGGGTACAAATGAGCCACTTTCCCCCTAAATAGCTGTCTAGTGATGAAGCTGCTACATCCTTACCATTTTTAATTGAGTTTGAAGATGGCGTACAGCTTTCTCCCCGGATAAAATATTTTGTTCAAGCATCTCTGACTTCTCCAGCACATAGGTGTCAAACGTCTTCAGGTTCATGTAATGTTCAGCACAAGTCACGCCTTTTCCTAGGTGATCACAATTTTGTTCAAGCTACTTGTAACATTTTATAACAATATGCCAATTATAGTGAACAAGAGAATAACACAGTTATTAAAGTGAACTAATGAAAAAAAGCAAGTATTATTTACAAAAATGAAATTATTATTATAGCAAATTAAGTAAATGACAACTTGGAGAAACAAAATGAAATAAAATACTGACTGGGTAAAATGTTTCCTCTTGTTTGTGTACAAGTTGGGGTATGTGCGTCTAACACAGTACTTGGTGGTGGACAAAGTTCTTCAATGAGAATACCATCTAGTTGAGAACAACTTAATTCTGATGTCTTGGCTTTTGTAGAAACACTAACCAAAAACACTTAAACAGATTACATTCCAGCGTTCTATCATTTCAATATTGTGCATAGATATCAATATTTACAGAACACCACTCCTAAAGAGATTATTCAATTAGATTCTAAAAATGGTTATGGTTTTTATAATGATTAAAGTAATAATATTTGAGTGAAAATAATTGTTATAGTTATACCCTTATTGGAAACCATTAAATTGCCTTTTCAAGTTTTTAAAAATGGCTAATTGGACTGAGTAAAATTACTCATCAAATTTTATAAAAGTATTTATAAAACACATAGAACATTGTTCTCTACCTGTTAAACTAAATGATACAGCATAACTTTACTATAATTGTCATGATGGCATATATGAACCATCCCTTACCTGTACTAGTAGGCTAAACTAAATATTACCAACTAGCAAAAAAATATAAACCTGTAACCTAAAATGTATTATTAGAAACAAAATCCATTACCTAAAAGATTTATCAGAGTTTTTCTTTTCTGTTGTAAGACCCGTGGTGCCCAGGCTAAAGTTGAATAATGCATCCAGTTTTTGTTGGGCTTTATCTTTGGCTTTTTCTCTGACCTTACTTTGCCGTACTGCTGTTTTTACATGATTTGTGTGGGCAGATGACCAAAACTTGCTGCTTAGCGTGATGGGAGCTTTATACAGTCGAGACTCATTCAGGTGACCTTTCGTCAAGTCTCTAATATCTTCTTTCTGTTTTTCTTCAACATCATTAAGGATTGATTTGATGTGGTGCCCCAAAATAAATTTAAATGCCATTTTAAAAGTAAAGCATAGAAAATCTGTTGAAAAAAAGTTGAGTTGTAAAACTAACAGTGGAATGGTGAACTACTTAATTAAATTATGGATATTGTGTATTTATTTGAATTTTTAAAAATCCAACTATGAGGTGTTGTTTTAAAAATGGCTTCATAGTCAATTTACTAGTTTGTTAAAGTTACAAATAATACTTTTGTCAAATTAGGGCCTACATAGTCTATACCAAAATAAAATTCTGAATAGCTGGAGTCTCATTGGTCTTAATGTAAGCTTTAGTGTTAAGACATCAAGGTCAATTATCACCATTTAGGCCATTAGATACTGTCTTTTTTAAAGGAAATGTTTAATAAAGTTTCTGGTTAGAAGAATTTTCATGTTTTGGAAGTTTCCATATTGTGTTTAGTTTGCTATAATTTGAAAATGTGTACATTTAAATCTTCATGTTATTTTTATTTTGTACATACATTTTGAAAACTAAATAAAAAAAAAAGAAAGCCAAAAAACTGTCATTTTCTGTCAACACATTGTAATATTAACAATTTAGGCCTGTGTCATCCTATTTTTAAGAATTATAGTATTAGTTTTTAATGCTTTTAATTGCTTTAAAAAATTTAGTTTGAACTTGTCTGGTTCATTGTATTGGTCAGATATGTAGGAATTTGATACTTTTAATATAATAAAAATAAGAGTAATACTAATAGTTTTATATTAATTCCAAATCAATTACCGTAGGGTAGTAGTAGATGAAAATGTTAAGATGAAAATTTTAAACTTCAATTTTAAATTTATGAAGTAAGTATCAATAATCACTATGACAATAGTAAACAAAGTCAATTATGGCATATCTTAACTTTTTGTCTTAAGTAATTACTACCCAAAAAATTATCAATTCAGGATTGGCTTATATCTTCATCAACATGATAAAAAAACTTCTTGGAAAAGAACTAAACTAAATACATATTTTAAATCATTTATTTAAAAATGTGTTTTTTATATGACAGAAGTAGAATCTAGATTTAGATCTATTATTATTAAATATCTTAGGAATGAATGTATAGAAGTTACCTCCCTAGCATTGAAAAACAACTTCAAAACACTTTGAGTGTGCTAGAAGTTATTTTGCCAATAGCCCATCCCCATGCCTATATATTATTGGTTTTATTGTGTAGTTGTGGGAAAAAGAAGTAAGGGGTCATCCATAAATGACGTCACACTCGTAGGGGGGAGGGGGGGTCCGTAATTTTGTGACGATGTGTGATGAGGGGGAGGGGGGGGGGTTCAGATGTTGCGACGTCATATTTTTGCAATATAAAAAAGCAATGTTAGAAAACGAATTTTAGACGTTATTTCGCATTTTAGATAACTGTTTTAATAAATTGTAATAGTTTAGACAAGATTTTGGAAAAATATCGATGTTTTAAAAAAATTCAACTGCAATTTTGAGGGGGGTTGTAGGTTGAGGTGTGACGTCATTTTAGGGGGGGGGGGTCTGGCTTTTTGTGACGACGTGTGACGGAGGGGAGGGGGGGGAGGTAAAAATCGTCAAAAAAAAGCGTGACGTCATTTATGGATGACCCCTAAGCAGTGGTTACTATAAATCTGGTTCTTGTTAAATTACTTCACTTTACTTTAAGATATTTGCTTTGGACTGCACACAAATCATTACAATGCAAATTATTCCAGGTCTTAATTAACTGAATATATCATAGAACAGAAGCTTTGGCTACTTTAATTAGTCAATAATTAAAAATCATTAATATCTACCTAGAAGTAGGCCCTACTTGAAACAATAGAATACTTTTTTTTTTACAAACACTTCCAAAACAAGGGTGGATTTAATAAGTATTAAGTAGTGCATTAACTTCTAGATTCTAGATTAATCTAGATCAATAGGCAATAGGCCCATTATGGCATTTTTTTTTATATTAGGCCTATAACCTATAGAATCTATAGAAGAGTATCATGTTACATGTAACATTATTTCATTTAATTATATGAATATCAATATACTATACAGATTACAGATGGCTATACTAAAATTACTAAACTAAAGAGTAGGCCTACTAAATACTCTAGGGCTAGGCCCTATGCCATGCTATAGGCCTAATAATAGTATTATAATAATACAAATCAAATAGTTATATATTAAATACTAAATATAGTTATACACTAGGCCTATAACCTATACATTATAGTATAGGACATAGGATATCTAATAATGAATATTACTAATAACTAGTAATAAACAGTAAATTTATAAATATCAATATATAGGCCTAATAAATAAGATAACTAGGCCAGTTAGATATTATAATATTATTATATATAGTATAGGCCCCTACTATTCTATCAATAGGCCTATAAAATACTAAATACTATTCACTAGTAACTAGTATTATATTAGTATTAGAGATCTACTTAAATTACTAGATCTAAGAATTAGCCTACCTAAAGTTTAATATTTAAGAAGCAGCCATCTTGACAGCTATCGTGTTGCTATAGATACTTAGAAGCTCGTTGAAAGGGAAAGAATTCCTTCATTTTTTTTTTTTTTTTTTGCTCCTGCTTTCCGAAAAAGCTTCAAATAGGTTACTCTTCTTGCCTGGTCAAAATAAAGATAAGGAAAATGAACCGAGAGTGATCTCCCCTCAACTTTTTTGAATATATGTGACACTACAGAGGATAGCAATGCGGGATATAGACATGATTTTTAATCAATTTTTAATTACTTAAACTTTTTAAAATAGAACAGAATCTCGTAGAAAAAAAGAATCGCGCACCAAGTGAATGGCAAACAATATGTATATTGAGTGCGGAGTGCGGACTATTATTAGCAGAGGCGTAGCGGGGTGAGGGGTACATATGTCCCTGGGCGCCGACCTTAGATGGGTTGGAAAAACAAATTAAGATCTCATTTTAGGTGCAGATTGAAAGTTTGAGGGGGGGGGGGTGCAAATCGAAATTTTGAATGGGGGATGCAAATCGAAAGTTCAGTAGCGTAGCGAGGGGGGGGGGCGGGGGGGACATATGTCCCCGGGCGCCGACCTTAGGGGGGGGGGGCGCCAAATTGAAAGTTTGAGGGGGGGTGCAAATGAAAAGTTCGAGGGGGGGGGGTGCAAATCGAAAGTTTGAGGGGGGGGGGGGGTGCAAATGAAAAGTTCGAGGAGGGGTGCAAATCGAAAGTTTGAGGGGGGGGGTGCAAATGAAAAGTTCGAGGGGGGGGTGGAAATCGAAAATTTGCTCCCAAGGGGGCGCCAAATTGAAAGTATGTCCCCGGGCGCCGGGAAGGGTCGCTACGCCTCTGCGAAAGTTTGAGGGTTGGGTGCAAATCGAAAATTGCAAGGTTGCTCCCTTGAAAGAAGGCAGAGAAATAGATCTTTTACTTACGTGTGAAATTTCGTTTATTTATCTGACACAGTAATAAAGTTATAGGCTTTTAAAAAACTAAAAGTAGAATAAGTCCCACTTTTGGTTATTGGAAATCGCTGAAAAGTAAAAACAAAACTACAAATTTGATATAATACTTATATATGAAATTTCATCAACTTAACTGTAGTGGTACTCAAATTATCGTGTTTACAGACACAAATACACACACAGACAGAATTGCAAAGTCCAATTTTTCCGACTCGATTACGCGTTAAACGCCGAAATTTTGATAAATCTTGATTTAGAATTTTTGTCCGATTAAAATAAGCCCCCTATAGTCCAAATATTATGAGGTACTGAGAAGTAAAACGGAGAAAAGTTTCAAAATTGCATGTTATTTTCGTACACGATTACAATGCCTCCTCTACAACTATCATAATATGGGTTCATGTTTCTTTGAAGATTCAAATCTTATGCCTGTATGACGATGTTCTTTAATGTTTTGTTAAAGGTGTTTACAACTGCTACCATTTCTAAAATAGTTAGGGGAGGAGTGGGTGAAAAGTCACAGGGGTGAAAAGTCACAGCAAGTTTTTGCCTTGAAGAAATACTTTTTCATTCCTTCATCAAGAAAATTATGGTTTTTAGTCGTTTACCCTGCTTGGAGTTCATTTCCTGTTTTAACTCTCTGAACCGGAACTGAGTTCAGAACCTCATGTACTTGTTTTCATTGACAAAGTGGAAAATTTTATGCTTGCATCTTTCATTATTTTTGTGTTTTCGTGCAATGTTTGTTTTCTCGAGCCATAATAACGTCAGTCTGGGTTGATGGTTTTTACGTATGAGAAATTGATTTGAAAGTGTGGATCATTTTGTATGACAACCCTTTGCTGGGGGGAAATGTCACAGGCCATGGGGTGAAAAGTCACACTTTTTCTTTGGCATGACTTTTCACCCCGGTCATTAAAAAAGAAGACCACTTGGTACAAACATGCAAAATATTTTTTTCTTTCTAGGTAGGAAAAGTGGTTCCAAAAGTGGTTCCACTTTGTGTTGCCAGAAAGCATATTTTTGAACCAAAATTGAATATTTTATAACATTTGTGAAATAAGTAAAAATCACTTCCGGTTTTTACTAAGGCTAGAATTTTAAACACAAAATTACTAATAATATAAAAGTAATTTACCAAACATTTTTATTTTAATTTGGATTAGTATAGTCAGGGTGTTGTGGTGAAAGGGGATGTTATATTATTTAACATAAATAAACTACTAGGCTATATTCCATTGTAATAATAAGTAAAGCGTAATTAATATCAACATTTTAATATAGGACTAAGCAATCTAGATCGACCTCTATTAACGATGTCACAACGATGCCAGACCTCCCCCTTCCCCAAAGAAGTAAACCTTAGCCAACATTCCCCCCCCCCCCCCTAGTTTGTTTTTAAAGCAGCGATTTTCATAAAATATTTAGACCTATGGGCTTTTCCAGCATTCAATGTAGGCCTATTGATGAATTATTTACAACAATTTATAAAACAACTTTTAATAATGCAAATAAAGGCTTAAATTCAGTTTCTTAACATGAGTGTTTGTTGAACATGGAAAAGTGTCATCTTACTTTCTGAACCCCCTCCCCTTTGACACAAAGGTCCAAATCTCCACCACCACCTCAAAGTCGTTTACAGACGACCACCTCAGCATTTTATATTTATTTATAGGATATTCATTAATTAGTCATACAAACCCAATTACATTTGTTGCTGTGATGGTATCTCTGTCATTACAATTATTAAATAGTTTATCTTAACTCAACATTTCCCCATACCTCATTTGCTATAGCTGCCTATCCTTATAGAAAACATCTTTTCCTCAAATATCTGGAATGCATCTGATCAGCTAGTCTTTTTCTTTTGTAATATATAAACAATTACAAAATGTTTATAAACTTGCACAGCCAATAACAACACATTACCAGGAAACAAGCAGTTATTATAGTTTGCTGTATTTGTGGTTTATGGTTAGTTATCAGCCATATTTCTATAAGCTTGGTCTACATTTATATGCTGGTATGGCTAGAATTGACAAAAACCCATATTCTTGATTCTTCCCTTATCATGTTTTACAGCTATGATAGATATAGTAGTTTTATTTTTAACATTGTAGAAAATTTAAGTAATAGTTACAAAATACTAAAGTTGAAGCTTAAACCATAACATAAGATATTTTAATAATTGTTCGTTTTGAACGAGATATAATACAAAGTTGAAAATTCTAAATAAAAAATTAAAGTATAATTGTTTGCAGACATTGCCCTTTTATTATTATTTGTATTATTATAAGCAAGCGGTCTTGTGGGAAATTTTCATTCCTTATTTTCTTCTTGTAATACAATGGGTTTCATATCAGCATGTTGTTTGGACTAGGAATAATATTAACAAATGATAGATTATATATTGATATAAACTTATATGTAAATAATATTCAAATGAAAGACTTATAGTGGGCCTACATATTTGTGAACACATTTGCTAAAGCAAAAGTTCTTGAGTTTAAATTTTAATCCTTTAGGTTGTCTCTGATTCAAATTCAAAGCAGTTAACTGGTACCTGACTGGTTATGGACAGTAAAAGCTGTTTGATATTTTCCTGACCATACAATTTATTAATATGGAAGGGCCACAAAACTAGGTGAAATCTACTTCAGCACCATATTCTTAAAAACTATTTATAGTTCGCCAGTTTAAGTCAATTATTAAATTAAGGTAACAATAATTAGTTTCCGCATACACCATCACACACAACCAGTGCTGAAAAAAATAAACATAACAAACTTTATAAATTTCTTTTTTAATTACATTCAGAACTAATAAATTTAAAAAAAAGTTGTTCAATATGAACAAGTTTTCTTGGGTCCAACATGTATCCTTGGACTAGTTGGATTTAATAGGTATGTGTAGGCCACTTTCAGTCAAGCCTGACCACTGTTGAAGAAGGTAAACGGAAAAAAAGTCACAGGAAAAAAAAACACAGAAAAAAAGTCACAGTTTTTGCTAGGAAAAAAAATCACAGAAAAAAAGTCACAGTGGAAAAAATTTTTTGGAAAAAAAGTCACAGAAATAAAGTCACAGAAAAAAAGTCACAAAAATATTTTTAGAAATATTTTTTTTATTTGTTTAGAATTGTAAAATTTTGTATGTTTATTGTTGTGGGTTGTATTTTTTTATAGCATAAATTATTTATAGACGTTAAAAGCATTATGGTTTATAACAATTGTAAGTAAAAATACTCTAATATAATTTACACAACAATCTCAACTTTTGTTACGTATTTAGTTAAAAACGCGCTAGAAAATTTAATTATAAAAGAAATTTAGGCAAATTTTGCCGTAGGCTATTCTCTGGTCAGCCTCTCCTCAGTAGGCATTGTCCGAACATATTTTGTGTTGTTGACGTCATGCGTCAACGACAGCATTTGAACCTTGTCGGCTTTCTTTTTTTATCCTAAGTGTTGTTATGTAATGAGCGTGATAAATGTGGGCAGTAAAGGTGGTTGAACTAAACATCTAAACATAACTATTGTGGCCATGAGTTGAGGGCAGCAAGTCAGACGAACTTACCATTTCACGGTAATTTAATGTTGGTATTTAAAAAAAAAAACAGGATTAAAACCGTGGACTTTGGAGCATTCTATTAAACGCTACTAATCTTAAGTTTAAAATAATTACAATCTACATACTTCATACTAAATATTTTTAGATGAATTATAAAAATTCCTATGCGTATACAGCCTACACACATTACATTACATTTAATTAATCCTAAGTTAATTTGCACTCTCTGAATATTTAATACATAAAAGTATTAAAAAGTATCATGCAAATATATATTTGTGACTTTTTTTCCTGTGACTTTTTTTCCTGTGACTTTTTTTCCTGTGACGTTTTTTCTGTGTTTTTTTTTCCTGTGTTTTTTTTTCCTGTGACTTTTTTTCCTACAATCGTTGAAGAATACTGTATATTAAGTCTTCAGAACTGGAGGATTCAGTGATATGAGTTTTTAAAAGGAACTTCATCTGACTTATCTTCTCTGTATGTAGTATCTAAAAAAAAAAACAAATAAATTTCACAAACTGTTATATTAAACTCATTACATTTCTATATATACTTTAACATTTTATGGTATAATTAAAAATATTTGTCTGTCTTATACAAATCATAA